TAGTCAGGCAGAGGGATCCTTCCAGCCTCGTTCTTTATCTTCAGGATAGCTTAGCTGATTCTGGGTCTTTCGTGCTTCCATATTAATCTGATGTTTTTTTTTCTATTTCTTTAAAAATGCTAATAGTATTTTGATGGGTATTGCATTAAATCTGTATAATGTTTTAGGTAATAAGGTCATTTCAACAATGTTGATTCTTTCAATCCAAGAATACAGAATATCTTTCCATTTCTTTATATCTTCTTCAATTTCTTTTAATAGAGTCTTAAAGTTTTCATTATATTCTTCCTTCACATGGTTCATTAAATTTATTCTTAAGTAGTTTATTTTTTGCTTGTTTGTTTCAGTTGCAATAGGAATTATTTTTTTTTTACTTCTTTTTCTGATAATTCATTATTAGGGTATAGGAACACTAGAGCATACCAAAACTTATTGGATGTAGCAAAAACAGTGCTCAGAGGGAAATAACCTAAATTTAGATTTAAAAAGCTAGAAAAGAACAAACTTAACCCAAACTAGAAAAATAAAGGAAATAGTAAAGATTAAAGTGAAGATAACATATAGAGTAGAAACACCAAAGATAATTAAGACCAAAAGTTGGCTTTTTGAGAAGTAAACAAACTTAGTAAACCATTAACTAGAGTGACTAAGAAAAAAAACGAGAAGACACAAATCACTAAAATTATAAATTAAATCAAAAAGTGGAGTATTATTACCAATCTTACAAAAATTAAAATATTATAAAAGAATACAATGAACAATTCTATAACAACAATTCTGAAAACCTGGATGAAATGAACATATTCCTAGAAACACACAAACTACCAAAAGTGAATCAAGAAGAAATAGAGAACCTGATGAGATTTATAACAATAAAGATATTGAATCAGTAATCAGAAAAACTTTTAACAAAGAAAGTCCAGGGCCAGAAAGTTTCGCTGGCAAATTTTACCAGACATTTAAAGAAGGGTTAACACCAATCCTTCTCCAACTCCTAAAAAACAAAGGATAAGGAAATATTTCCTAACTTATTTTGTGAGACCACCATTATCCAGAAACTAAAGCCAAATAATGACATCACAAGAAAAGATAATTATAGACCAATATCACTTATGCCTGTAGTTGCAAAAATCCTCAACAAAATACTAGCCAACTAAATCCAGCATCATATTATACACTATGACCAAGTGGGGTTTATCCCAGGAATGCATGGGTGGTTCAACATATAATAAGAAAAAGAAATTAAAAAATAATATAATGCATTACAGTAATAAATTGAAGGTTACAAAAAATGTGATCATCTCTATTTATACAGAAAAAGCATTTGACAAAATCCATCACTCTTTCTTGATAAACACATTCAACCAAACAGATATAGAAGGAAACTTGCTCACCATGATAAACGTCATTTATGAAGAGCCCACAGCTAACATACTACTCAATCGTGAAAGAATGAAATATTTTCCATTAAGATCAAAAAAAAAACAGGATGCTTCCTTTTACTGTTTCCATTTAATGTTGTACTGGAAATTCTATCTAGAGCAATTAAGCAGAAAAAAAAATAAAAGGCAGAGAAAAATTGGTTAAAGAAAAAATTATCTCTTCGCAGATGACATGATCTTATATAGGGAAAATCCTATAGAATTCACTCACGCACAAAAAAATAGATCTAATAAATAAATTTAGCAAAGCTGCAGAATACAAGATTAACACATGGAAACCAGTTATAGTTCTACACCAGCAATGAACAATCCATAAAGTAAATTAAGAAATCAATTGCATTTACAAAGTCATCGAAAATATCTCAACTGATAAGGGCATTAGCCATAAAAAGGGTTAAATATTGATACAAGCTACAAAATAGATGAACCTCAAAAGAGAATGCTAAATGAAAGAAGCCAGACACAAAAGGTCACCTATTTTATGATTCCATTTATATGAAATATCAAGATTAGCTAAATCCAGAGACAAAAAAGCAGATTAGAGATTATCAGAGGTTGGGGGAGTGAAAAATGGGGAGTGACTGCATAGTGGGTAGTGGTTTCCTTTCTGAAAGGTAAAATGTTTTGGAACTAGAAAGTGATAATGGTTGCTTAATATTGTGAATGTACTAAATACCACTGGATTTTATACTTTAAAGTGATTAATTTTATGTTCTGTAAGTTTTACCTTGATAAAAAATAATGTAACACTGAAGGTATGACCATCATCATCATCGTCATCACCATTACTACGGAAAAGCTTTCCCAAATTTCACTTCTTTAACGAGCTTATATTATGAGGGGCAAAATAAGTAGACTAAAATTTAAAACTAAAGTTAGTATAATTTGAATAATATAGTCTTATCTTCTCTCTCTTCTCTTTCAGATTATGTCTGGCCACTACCTAGATATTTGTGCCCCGTCTGGATTTCTTTGGATGTTTTATTTTCTACGGCGTCCATCATGCACCTCTGCGCTATCTCGCTGGATCGGTATGTAGCAATACGTAATCCTATTGAGCATAGCCATTTCAATTCACGGACTAAGGCCATCATGAAGATTGCTATTGTTTGGGCAATTTCTGTAGGTAATTAACTTTCTTGGCCATTAGAATTGCAGCGGCTATGCTCAATATCTTCGGATTATGTACTGTGAACAACGAACAGACGTCGACTGGTAACATTTGCGTATAATCGGGACTTTTCTATTTAATAATTATTCTTAACCTATTTATCTAATATTTAGGTTAACAATAATAAAATGCGATGTATATGAATATTTAAATGAAAAATTTTCATTTATGCTGCTAAATTATTTTATGCATCAATATGCCAATGAATTCTGCAACACAAACAAAACCTTTCAGATATTAAAACAATTTGAAGATGACAGATACACAGCATATCTAATTTTTTTAAAAAATATAGCATTTAAATCTTATAAACATAAATCTATCCAAAAATATTAATCTTAATATTTTATTCTATTTCCATATCTTCTTCAGTAAATATGTCCAAATTTATGCTGTTAGTCAATCTAAAATATACTATTCCCCTCCATTTTCAAATAGCTTCTTGGATTTTGGTTATATAGAAAGAGGGAAAAAAATAGTGATTTCTTCAAAGATTTAGGGGAGATTGAAAAAGAGAAATGATCATCTCATTGCTTATATTTCAGATATTCATAAATGCTTTACCAATGCTGTAACACAGGAGCTCCAGGCCAGAAACCTGCACCTGGGCCTTGGATATTCCAAAAACCCACCAAGAGGGCCAGCAGAGTGAGACATACCGTTTATTACTTGCAGTACAAGGAGACTTCAGCACTTGTTGGGTTGGAGCTGCAGGAAAAGGCAGCCAGCCAAGAGCAGGCATTGTTTTATATGTGAGCAAATAGGAGGGAGATTGCTTCATCCCAGGAAACAAGGGTCTTCCCGCGTGGATGAGAGTCAAATGTGCTGCCTAGCTAGTGTTAGGGAGGGCGGGACCAGCCGTGTCCTAGAGCAGAGGGACCAGCCTTGTCCTAGAGCAAAGCAGAGAAGCAATATCCATAGGAATGACCAAAGTGTCAGATAGCGCCCATGGAAGCAACGGAAAGTGTCCTTGGGAGCAAGCACAGCCAAGAGAACACTTTGTTCATTGTCTTCGTTGGGGCTGCTGACCCAACACTCCTCTTTGCCTCCTGTGTCGGTGGATGGGCTATTTGAATTAACTCCACAAATGCTAATATTCAATGCACAAAATTTAACCCATTAGAATGTAAGGGCTTTTATAACCATCATATTCCTTTTCTCCTCTTCCAGTTGGAACCTATATTTATTATCTCATTAAATAATTCCTCTTCAAAATTATGTTTCTGTAAAAGATTCCAGTAGGGTTTATAAGATCAAGACCTCTATACAATCTTCACTGATATCTTCTAAAGATTTTGACTGTGGGTTTATCTAAAAAATAAATTTATTTAACTTTTAAAATTATTCTATTGTAGGTGAATAGACATATATTTTATTGGATAAAATGCAATGAAATATACACCACAAAAAAAAGTGAATCTATATACACAATTTGACCTACATATTCAAGGGCTCACAGATTTTACCTCCTCCACTCCAAAAAGCTCATCTGAAAATACCAATTCTTATGGTGTTTACGAAGGAAATATATGGCTAAGTCAATTTAGGATATTAGGGACATCCACTTCTAATAATGACAGATTGAGTAATTTTGAATGACTCCTGTGCTAAAAACAACTAAAAATATAGGGAAAAAATACTGTAAGCTTTGAAAAAGCTAGTAAGATAGTGAAGGACTTAGGAAAAAAGACAGAAATCCAAGAAAAGTGACTATGATTTTTGGATCATTTGCCAGTGATGCGTTTTCAGATCTGAGGATGTGACAGCTGAGAAGCTCGTTTCACAATCTCATGAACAAAGGAGAACCAAAGTAGGAATAGAGAGCCTGGCATGGGTCAACCAACTTGAACTTATTTTTTGGATCCCAAAGGCCTATACATTATAAATAAGAGTGGATCAGGATTATACCACTCCTGACATGGAATTCAGGACTGGTTCAAGTCATCTCTGTAAGAAAAATCTTAAGTTTGGAAATTGGGTTAAGGTGATTTCATATTCTTCATGTTTGCAATTTTGGGGGAATAAACAAAAAGAAACATTATCCTAGGCTTTAAATTATTTATTTCAATATTTTTAATTTCAGTAACTAGAATACAATGATAAAAAGACATATGAAAAGACAAGGCAGCATGAACCAGATATATCACAATGAAAGATAATAAAAATGAACCTATAGACACTCAAGATATTTGCATTACCTGACATAGACTTCAAACAACTATTTGTAATGTGGACAAGGAAATTACAAGCTGAAACTGCAAGAAACGGCAAACATAAAGAATGACATTTGAGATTTGAAAAAAAAAGAAAGAAAGAAAAGCTAGAAATTGAATCTAACATGAAAACCTAACATGAAAACTCAAGGGAAGATTAGACATGGTAAAGAGAGCATTACTGGAAGTTAGTTAGAAGAAATTGTGATGAATGAAGAAAAAAAAGCTGGAAGAATAGAAAAGAGAGGTGAGAGAGTAAAAAGACAGTAAACATATAATATAAAATGAGAAGTGTTCCACAAGTTGAGAAAAGAATGGCAGAAAAGCAACATTTGAAGAAATAATGGCTTTTAGAATTGATGAAAGACATTGAATCTCATGTTTAGAAAGCTCAACAGGTTTCAAGCAGGATGAATAAAAAGCAAGCAACATTTAGACTTATCACAGTGACATTGCAGAAAAAAAATAATATTAACATTAAAGGAAAAAAAAGATTAACTTCAATAGAGCAACGATATGATGGATGAATGTCTTTTCAACAGCAACAATGAAAGCTAGAAGATATTGAAATTAGAGTTAATATGCTGATGAAAAAGTGAATGCTAAATTAGAACTATATACTCAGAAAAATTATATCTCAAGAATTGAAATGAAATAAAGATATTATCAGACAAGCAAAAACTAAGAGAACATGGCAAAAGCAAACTCACTTAAGTAAATACTAAAGGGTGTTTTTAAAACAAAAGACATGAAAGATGCCAGAAGCAATTAAGAGCAATGAAAATGATAACTGTGTGGTTAAATATAAATAAATATTGTCTGTATAAAACAGCAACAATAATGTCTTCTGGAACTCAAAATATTTATGGAACTAAAATATACAAAACAATATAGGTAAAAAGGATTGAAAGTAAACTTTTTCATTGTTCAGGAGAAAGATTAAAATATTTAATATTAAGATTTGATGACTATAGTATATAATTTGTCATATGTTCTGGGTAATCACTAATATAAAAGGAAAGTTTAACTTTCAAATTTACAGAGGAATATTAGAGTATAATAAAACAAATCCAAAAGGAGGCAATAAAAGGTAGAAAAAGGAACACAGATCAGATGGGAAAATATAAAAACTCGTACTAAGATCACAGAAATAAAACCAAATACAGTCGATGCTTGAATAATGCAGAATTAGATACACCAACTCCCCCCGCCGTAACTGAAAATCCATGTATAACTTTATACACCCCCAAAATTTAACTACTAATAGCCTAATATTGACTTTCCCGATAATATAAACAGTTGATTAACACATATTTTGTATGTTAAATGTATTATACACTATATTCTTACAACAAAGTAAGCTAGAGAAAAAATGCTATTAAGAAAGTCGTAAGGAAGAAAAATATATTAACAGTACTGTATTTATTGATACTGAAAGTTTATGTAATATGTTTTATAAGATGAATCATCTTTGTTAGTACCTACATCAATATTATCATACATGACACAAAACAATGTAGATGTTATATGGATAACTAATACTAGACATCAACAATGAAAAGATAATGTGTAAAATAAATTCATATTTATTTATAGCTATAATCATTCATGCATTAATTATGAAGAAGCAACAATATGATTGCTTTATGATAATCTAGCATAATTGATAACCTAGCATGATTGCTTTATGGTAGCTTAACCTATTCATTAATGAATGAATCGTTATAAAATTTTTATGGCATACAGTATTACAGTCATATTCATAATACAGTATCAGAAACACTATTTCATCTTTTAGAACCACTTACCTGTGATGATAGGCTAATACGCTCTTTATCTAATTACGAGAGGTGTATTGTATGGTAATGTAATTCTTTGAAAGTGAAGTTATAAAACAGTAAGAAAATTAACATATTATTAATTTTATATTAAATGTCAGTCACAAGTCTTGTACACAGTGCTCTACATGGTGATTACTTAGGCAATGATGATGATGATGATACAAAAGCAACTCTTAAAGTTTTTGCATTAAATTATTAGATTTTCACATAAAGACACTCATAATACAACATACAAGTTTAACTGCACAGCCCAATGATTATTTACTATTCATTTAGTGGAATTGGATTATCGTAAAAGTCTTCATCTTTGTCATCTTCATGTTGAGTATACTGAGGAAGAGGAAGAAAAGAATCGAGTTGGTCTTGCTGTCTCCGTGATGGCAGAGGCAGAAGAGGTGAAAGAGGTGGAAAAGGAGGCAGAAAAGGCAAGCACATTTGGTGTAACTTTATGGAAGTACATCATAATTTCGGACTGACTTTTTCCTTTTTCATTTCTCTAAAAATGTTTCTATACCGTACCAATCTTTCTTCCATCATTTGCTTTAGATTCAGTGTCCGTTTGTAGAAGGATTTCTGTCATAAAAAAAAAGTTGAAAAGTCTTGAATAATTAAAGCCTATCTGCCATATTGTCTAATAACTTATCTGGTACTGCTTTTTTCTGTCTTCTTCCTCATCGTCTGGCACTGGTTTGGAAGCATGCATCTTCATCAAGTCACCTCCTGTTAATTCCTCTGCTGTGGTGTCTAATAGCTCTTGAATTCCTCCAAGATCCATACCTTGAAACACTTCACCCCCCACCTTTTTGTCATATCCACAATCTTTTTCACTATTTCTATGTTTATGCTCCGTTGTAAATCTTGTGAAGTCATGCGCAACACCTGGACACAGTTTTCTACAGCA